AGTCTGCAACACCACTAAGCAAGCGGCACCATGAAGACCAAGGAGCTCTCCAAACAGGTCAGGGACAAAGTTGTGGAGAAGTACAGATCAGGGTTGGGTTTTTAAAAAACATCTGAAACTTTTGACATCCCACGGAGCACCATTAAATCCATTATTATAAAATGGAAAGAATATGGCACAACAACAAACCTGCCAAAAGAGGACCGCTCACCAAAACTCACGGACCAGGCAAGGAGGGGATTAATCAGAGGTAACAAAGAGACCAAAGATAACCCTGAAGGAGTTGCAAAACTCCACAGCGAAGATTGGAGTATCTGTCCATAGGACCACTTTAAGACGTACACTCCACAGAGATGGGCTTTACGGAAGAGTGGCCAGAAAAAAGCCACTGCTTAAAGAAAAAAGTAAGCAAACACATTTGGTGTTTACCAAAAGGCATGTGGGAGACTCCACAAACATATGGAAGAAGGTACTCTGGTCAGATCAGACTAAAATTTAGCTTTTTGGCCATCAAGGAAAACGCTATGTCTGGCGCAAACCCAACACCTCTCATCACCCCGAGAACACCATCCCCACAGTGAAGCATGTTGGTGGCAGCATCATGCTGTGGGGATGTTTTTCATCAGCAGGGACTGGGAAACTGGTCTGAATTGAAGGAATGATGGATGGCGCTAAATACAGGGAAATTCTTGAGGGAAACCTGTTTCAGTCTTCCAGAGATTTGAGACTGGGACGGAGGTTCACCTTCCAGCAGGACAATGACCCTAAGCATACTGCTAAAGAAACACTTGAGTGGTTTAAGGGGAAACGTTTAAATGTCTTGGAATGGCCTTGTCAAAGCCCAGACCTCAATCCAATTGAGAATTTGTGGTATGACTTAAAGATTGCTATACACCAGCGGAACCCATCCAATCCAACTTGAAGGAGCTGGAGCAGTTTTGCCTTGAAGAATGGGCAAAAATTACAGTGGCTAGATGTGCCAAGCTTATAGAGACAAACCCAAAGAGACTTGCAGCTGTAATTGCTGCAAAAGGTACAATGTATTGACTTTGGGGGGGGGGGGGGGGTTATGCACGCTCAAGTTGTTTTTTTGTCTTATTTCTTGTTTCACCCAAAAATATTTTGCATCTTCAAATTGGTAGGCATGTTGTGTAAATCAAATGATACAACCCCCCCCAAAATCAATTTTAATTCCAGGTTGTAAGGCAACAAAATAGGAAAAATGCCAAGGGGGGTGAATACTTTTGCAAGCCACTGTATGCATAATCAATGGATGTAAAGCTATCACCTTGTGACATTGCAACAAACAGATTATTTGCAGATAGGACAGAGTCAAAGGAGACTTCAACTGAGTACAATGCCATGGAAATAGATCAGGCTAGACATAATTCAAACAAACAGATCATTTATTACAATGTTACAATGTGTAATAAGCACCAGTCGTTAAAGGCTGTACCTACAAATTGCTGCCTGTTGTACAGGAATCTTGCAGAGAGTAGCTACAGGTAAAGGGGATACCTAGTCAGTTGCACAACTGAATGCATTCATCCGAAATGTGTCTTCCACATTTAACCCAACCCTTCTGAATCAGAGAGGTGTGGGGGGGCTGCCTTAAATCAACGTCCACGGCGCAGTTGTTGTTGGGGGTTAATCGCCTTGCTCAAGGGCAGAACGTCAGATTTGTCCACCTTGCCGGCTCGGGGATTTGAACCAGCAACCTTGCCGTTACTGCCCCAACGCTACCTGCCAGTATGTTGCAGCTGGGTTAAATACAATCTAGTTAGAAGGATATCACACACACACTTTATAAAAATGATAAGGTAGGGCACATCAAACGGTACAGAAGCCACACAATGGTTCCAGGTGAATAGCACAGCAAACTGCGCACAGTGAGATACCACACAAGGCTGCAATAGTTAGTTACACTAAGCAAAGCTATAAATAAAATGTGCTATACAAATGTTCCCCTTGAATATACATATTAAAATACAAACAATTCAATAGGTTGTGCTTTAGCTTGTTGGGCACTCAGCTGCCACACTAAGATACAAATAATTACTCTTTCATACTTGAATATAGCTTACCAAAGGTCATCGTCATCATCAACAATACTACTACTACTACTACTACTACTACTACTACAACAACAACAACAACAACAACAACAACAACAACGCACCAATACTGCAACGGCTGTGGCAACTTGGCATCCAGCCAATACCGCTTCCTGATCTGACATTATGTGGTCCTCTTTTAGAGGGGCACAGGTGTGCTCAATCATCTCGTTACCTGGAGCAGGCAGACAAACATATTCAATCACAGAACACATTCAACACAAATGAAAACACACACAAAAAAACTACCAGTAACAGGGAATCTTGACCATGTTACAACATTATATAATATTTATAGCCTGTGTTCATCATGTAGCCAGAACACTTCAGGTAATTGTCCCCCATGGACTGTGAATGTTGTATCTGTACAATCTATTCAGCTGAAGATGTTCCCTTCCCTCTGCCTTCGTTCACTCCCCTTTATGGATCTGAGACAACTGGGTAGGTGTCAGCAATAGCTCCATCTAGTTTATATATAATAATACAAACAATAGATATGTCTAGTTTATATATAATTATAATTATAATAATATAAACAATAGCTCCATCTAGTTTGTATATAATAATAATACAGTGGGGGGAAAAAAGTATTTAGTCAGCCACCAATTGTGCAAGTTTTCCCACTTAAAAAGATGAGAGAGGCCTGTAATTTTCATCATAGGTACACGTCAACTATGACAGACAAAATGAGAAAAAATGTTCCAGAAAATCACATTGTATGATTTTTTATGAATTTATTTGCAAATTATGGTGGAAAATAAGTATTTGGTCAATAACAAAAGTTTCTCAATACTTTGTTCTATACCGTTTGTTGGCAATGACACAGGTCAAACGTTTTCTGTAAGTCTTCACAAGGTTTTCACACACTGTTGCTGGTATTTTGGCCCATTCCTCCATGCAGATCTCTTCTAGAGCAGTGATGTTTTGGGGCTGTCGCTGGGCAACAAGGACTTTCAACTCCCTCCAAAGATTTTCTATGGGGTTGAGATCTGGAGACTGGCTAGGCCACTCCAGGACCTTGAAATGCTTCTTACGAAGCCACTCCTTCGTTGCCCAAGCGGTGTGTTTGGGATCATTGTCATGCTGAAAGACCCAGCCACGTTTAATCTTCAATGCCCTTGCTGATGGAAGGAGGTTTTCACTCAAAATCTCACGATACATGGACCCATTCATTCTTTCCTTTATACGGATCAGTTGTCCTGGTCCCTTTGCAGAAAAACAGACCCAAAGCATGATGTTTCCACCCCCATGCTTCACAGTAGGTATGGTGTTCTTTGGATGCAACTCAGCATTCTTTGTCCTCCAAACACGACGAGTTGAGTTTTTACCAAAAAGTTCTATTTAGGTTTCATCTGACCATATGACATTCTCCCAATCCTCTTCTGGATCATCCAAATGCACTCTAGCAAACTTCAGACGGGCCTGGACATGTACTGGCTTAAGCAGGGGGACACGTCTGGCACTGCAGGATTTGAGTCCCTGGCGGCGTAGTGTGTTACTGATGGTAGGCTTTGTTACTTTGGTCCCAGCTCTCTGCAGGTCATTCACTAGGTCCCCCCGTGTGGTTCTGGGATTTTTGCTCACCGTTCTTGTGATCATTTTGACCCCACGGGGTGAGATCTTGCGTGGAGCCCCAGATCGAGGGAGATTATCAGTGGTCTTGTATGTCTTCCATTTCCTAATAATTGCTCCCACAGTTGATTTCTTCAAACCAAGCTGCTTACCTATTGCAGATTCAGTCTTCCCAGCCTGGTGCAGGTCTACAAATCTGTTTCTGGTGTCCTTTGACAGCTCTTTGGTCTTGGCCATAGTGGAGTTTGGAGTGTGACTGTTTGAGGTTGTGGACAGGTGTCTTTTATACTGATAACAAGTTCAAACAGGTGCCATTAATACAGGCAACGAGTGGAGGACAGAGGAGCCTCTTAAAGAAGAAGTTACAGGTCTGTGAGAGCCAGAAATCTTGCTTGTTTGTAGGTGACCAAATACTTATTTTCCACCATAATTTGCAAATAAATTCATAAAAAATCCTACAATGTGATTTTCTGGAGAAGAAATTTTTCTCAATTTGTCTGTCATAGTTGACGTGTACCTATGATGAAAATTACAGGCCTCTCTCATCTTTTTAAGTGGGAGAACTTGCACAATTGGTGGCTGACTAAATACTTTTTTCCCCACTGTATAAACAATAGCTTCATCTGCAAGTGTAGATCATTGTTTTACAAATAGAAGTGCACAGATCTGAAATATCGCCAAACCATCGTGTATTCTTTTATTTGGGTGATATAAACATTTTTGTGCTAGAAGTCAAAAGTTAAAACAAAACAATGGCACTTAACTTGTCCTTAACTTCATTAAATGTTGCATCCTGTAGTTGTATTTTGTGAAACAACATGATCATAGATGCATTCATTAAACATTTTAACAACAAAGCAACCCAATCTCTAAACTGTTGGTAGCTGGGCTATAGTTGCTACATGTATGATGTAGTTGTCTTTTACTTGTAGGCTATAGAAGTCATGTGAAAACAAAACAATTACATTGAAATACACTAAATGTTGCATAGTTACAAAATATTGCCTCTTTTGTGAAGCTACATGATCCATGTACTAAAGCTAACAAAAGCAACAATTCAACCCTAGGGCTCTATTCAATCTATAAAGCTGAAGCGTTACAGATTCCGCAATAGAAATATAAAGGTAATTTCCAATTGAGCCGACATATGCAGCCTTTACCATGAATGCTGTCTCCGCTAAAGCAGGTACATTGCCGCTGTAAAGCTGAACTTCCGCTATGCGGATTGAATAGAGGCCCTAATCTCTAAACTGTTGCTAGCTGGGCGGTAACAAGGCTGTAACAGGGCTGTAGCTGTGTTGTCTCCTGTGTTGCTCAGGGTTTGACGGTGAGCTGGGCCTGTCCGTACACCTGTCTGAGGGCAGCACAGTCCAGACTGGCCATCAGCCTAGTGGGCCCCTCCCTACGGGGGGTGAAACCCTCCGTCCACGTCAGGGACGAGCCTGCCGTGATCAGACTGGAATAGAAACATACAGACAGTACATGAGTGCACACACACACACACACACACACACACACACACACACACACACACACCTGTAATTTTTATACTTGGGTGACATGACTCCTGGCCCCTCCACACGAACATACACATCCTCCAGGTTAAACTTGAATGGGTTGGTGAACTCCACGGTGACCATCATCTCCTCACTCACCTTGGCCAGACCAGACACCTACAGGGAGGCAGATGACAGTTTAGAACAGTCCTGACCCTAGCTGTGAAGACCCAGCTAGGATCGGGAAATGCAGCATATTTGGAAAATCCAGTGTACTTTCTATACAGTACAAATTGATTCATTTTGTGCTTTCCACGATGTGCACAAAGTTACCACCAGGTGACAAGACCAGGAAAAAGTCCATCAAACTAGGTCAGATCACATGGTCAGTTCACATGGTCGACAAAAATTCTCAGCCTCAGATGAGTGTCAGCAAAAATGTACCCCCCCCCCCCCCCCCCCCCCCCCCTCGTGGATTAATATATTTTTTTTTTTATTGAATGTAATTTGATTTAATCCAATATAATTTAATGGTTGAATATTGGTTGGATGGAGAGTTTGGGGTATGTAGCATTATATGACCTAACTCTACAGAGAGTTTGAGGTATGTAGCATTATATCACCTAACTCTACAGAGAGTTTGAGGTATGTAGCATTATATCACCTAACTCTACAGAGAGTTTGAGGTATGTAGCATTATATGACATACCTCTACAGAGAGTTTGGGGGTGTGTAGGGTGACAACCCTCATGGTGGCGATGATCTGGCCAGTCTCTTTGACCTTCCCGGTGGCGATGAAGTGGAGGTTGGCCTGCTCCACCAGCTTTGTCATTTATTCCTGGGAACGCACCTCCATCACCTGCTTCTCAGCTGGGAAAACACACAGGGATGACTTAGGATATGCTTTGTCTCGTTGAGTTTTATTTTCATTTTCATGTATTTTCTGTGGCTCCAGCTTTAGAAATATGGTAGAGCAACTAGCTTGCTGCTAGTAGAGAGAATGTTGATCTTACATGCACCCCCTTACACAAACGGACGGACACACACACACACACACACCCTCCTCAGCCCCTCCTCCTCCCTCAACCCGCCTACCTTTCTTGGGATCCAGAATCACTCTAGGGGTCTTGAAGAGGAACTCAGAGCTGGTGACTTCAGTGTAATACACCACGTTGCCACTGATGTACACGTCCACAGTACGCACCTGGTCACTCGTGTTGTTGAACTCCAGCTTCAGCTCAAAGTCGTCCCACACCCTCACCTCGATCAGGGGCATGTCCAGCTCCACGTCAGCCTCCGGAGGGGTGGCCTTCTCACGGTGACAGCCGTACTCCTCTGCCTTCTCCAGCACCGTGCGCTCCTCAGGACTACCTGTTGATGTGGGACACCACAGACGAGAGGGAGAGATTATTAGGTCTCTCTCAGAAGTAAAATCTGAGTTTCTAGAGTGTTGGTACCCCATTTACAAAGAGACAAAACCTCTTCTTTTTACATTTTGTTATCTTCTTTAGGGGGTAAGATTCACGTGATGGAAAGTCAGATATGGTGGGGAGTTACTACTTTTTATGACACAGAGGAGTGAGCAGGAACTGACACAGACTGACACTTTTTGGGCCGGTTTTCCAGACACAGATGAAACCTAGTTCTGGACTTTAAAACACTTCCAATGGATATTCTCGATATAGCATCCCTTTTATTCCAGGACTATAGGCTCAATCCATGTCTGGGAAACCGGCCCTTTAAGTGTTTGCTCTGTGATTCTCCCTCCATCCCTCTTCTCCTACCCTCAGGGAACTTGTACTGATCAGTGATGTCACGGCGAGCGTCCTGGCCGGGCACTTTGGTCACCACCATCCTGCCAACATGGCTGCTGTTGACCCTGACAGGCTCCAGGGTTCCGTCTCTGGGGTTCCGTGAGTAGAACACCACATCACTGTTCACCTACAGCACAGGACGAATGGGACAGGTTCATCATGTAAAACACCAGTAATTAGTCAATTAGTCATATATTTGGTCATATATTTAGTCATATATTTGGTCATATATGTAATAATGTAATACATGGTCATATACAATGCATTCGGAAAGTATTCAGACCCCTTCAATTTTTCCACATTTTGTTATGTCTCAGCCATATTTTTTCCCCCTCAATCTACACACAATACCCCATAATGACAAAGCGCAGACTGGTTTTTAGAATCTTTTGCAAATATATTAAAAATAAAAAACACTTTATTTACAAGTATTCAGACCCTTTCCTTTGCTATGAGACTCGAAATTGAGCTCAGGTGCATCCTGTTTCCATTGATCATCCTTGAGATGTTTCTACAACTTGATTGGAGTCCACCTGTGGTAAATTCAATTGATCGGACATGATTTGGAAAGGCACACACCTGTCTATATAAGGTCCCACAGTTGACAGTGCATGTTAGAGCAAAATCCAAGCCATGAGATTGAAGGAATTGTCCGTAGAGCGCCGAGACAGGATTGTGTCGAGGCACAGATCTGGGGAAGAGTACCAAAAAATGTCTGCAGCATCGAAGGTCCCCAAGAACACAGTGGCCTCCATCATTCTTAAATGGAAGAAGTTTGGAACCACCAAGAGTCTTCCAAGAGCTGGCCACCCGGCCAAACTGAGCAATCGGGGGAGAAGGGCCTTGGTCAGGGAGGTGACCAAGAACCCGATAGTCACTCTGACAGAGCTCTAGACTTCCTCTGTGGAGATGGGAGAACCTTCCAGAAGGACAACCATCTCTGCAGCACTCCACCAATCAGACCTAGAGTGGCCGGACGGAAGCCACTCCTCAGTAAAAGGCACATGACAGGCCGCTTGGAGTTTGCCAAAAGGCACCTAAAGACTCTCAGACCATGAGAAACAAGATTCTCTGGTCTGATGAAACCAAGATTGAACTCTTTGGCCTGAATGCCAAGCGTCACTTCAGGAGGAACCTGGCACCATCCCTACAGTGAAGCATGGTGGTGGCAGCATTATGCTGTGGTGATGTTTTTCAGCGGCAGGGACTGGGAGACTAGTCAGGATTGAGGCAAAGATGAACGGAGTAAAGTACTCCAGAGCTCCAGAGTGCTCAGGACCTCAGACTGGGGCGAAAGTTCACCTTCCAACAGGACAACGACCCTAAGTACACAGCCAAGACAACGCAGAAGTGGCTTCGGAAAAGTCTCTGAATGTCCTTGAGTGGCCCAGCTAGAGCCCGGACTTGAACCCGATCGAACATCTCTGGAGAGACCTGAAAATAGCTGTGCAGCGACGCTCACCATCCAACCTGACAGCGCTTGAGAGGATCTGCAGAGAGAAATTGGAGAAACTCCCCAAATACAGCTGTGCCAAGCTTGTAGCGTCATACCCAAGATGACTCGAGGCTGTAATCTCTGCCAAAGGTGCTTCAACAAAGTACTGAGTAAAGGGTCTGAATACTTATGTAAATGTGACATTTCAGTTTTTTATGTTTTATAATTTGCAAAAAATGTATATATATAGAAATCAGATGTTGCTTTGTCATTATGTGGTATTGTTTTTAGATTGATGAAAAAAATAATATTTAATCCATTTTAGAATAAGGCTGTAACGTAACAAAATGTGGAAAAGTCAAGGGGTCTGAATACTTTCCGAAGGCACTGTATATAACCATATATATTACCATATGTATTACCATATATTTAACCATATATATTACCAAAATGTGTATAGGTACTGTATATTCACTGTTAGACTGAGAGTTCACTGATTCAAACTGATGCAAACTAGAAATTAGCTTTCTTGGTAAGTGGCCAGTAGGGGTTGAAACATTTAGTATACTGTCCTGTGCAGTTAGTGTACTGCTCCACTAGGGTGGCTCATCGTTATAGTCTTTACCTCAGCAAACACGAATGGTGCGTCGAACGGGAAGCAGATCTGTCCGTGTTTGATGGCCTGGACGGATGCTGGGCCACACCTGTACATCCCTATAGAAAGACACATTAGGTATTTTATTACAAATAAGTAGTAGTACAGCTAGTACAGTATAACATAGCTATTACCTCTTAAATTATCGAACAAAGTGTAGCAATTTTAGAACATGGTGATATAAAAATTCTAACACGGTCAGTACAAGTGTACTCGTGCATGTGTGTGTGCGCACGTGGGTGTACTTGGGAACACCTTACCATCGCTGGTCTCCTGGGGTGTAGCATCCACAGCCTGCCAGCCCCCAAACCCTTGAGGAAGGTCTGGCCTGCTCATGTAGCACTCGTTCCAGCAATGGTAGTTCCTATGGTAACACAACCATCCCATCACTTCACTGTAACATCCAATGATTTTAAATGCAGTGTATGCACTCTCGTCGATGAATTGTGTTTTTAAATGGTCAATTCAAATCAGAAGGTGATTTCAAGCATTGTCTGTCACTGAATCAGTTCTACCAAATTAAGTAGTGCTGAGCGATTAACCCCCCCAACGTGCCGTTTCTCTAGAGAGAAATCTAATCATTCACGAGAATAATAAAATCGAACTATGTGGGATGCGGTGCTGAAGGGAGTTGTAGTATTCATTAAGCAAATATTCAACCTAGTTCAGCGCAGAAACATCGTCTGTCACTCTGAATCAGTTCTACCAGATGGAGTCCTTGGTGCGGTGCTTGTCAATTCTCCTATTCTCATCCAAGATAACATCAGTCTTCAGGTTGCCATCGTTGTCGTGGGCAGAGTAGAAGTTGGTGACAACCTTGATGGGGATGCCCAGACAGCGCAGGACTGGGGAGGGGGAAGGGAAGGAAAATGATTTAATCAGCAAATACAAAAAAATATAAGGAATTCTGCACATCAAAGAGGGGAATAAGTAGATAAAATTATGTTTGTGACAATAAACTAAACAGCAACAGCTTGGCAATTCAAACCGTAGACTACTACTGCACCCCACCCACCCGTATTCTAACACAATATAGAACACTCTTCATTCTCTATTACTGGGTGGTATAGCCATTCATATTAAGGCAATGTCTCCCAATCCTGGTCCTGGAGACCCAAAGGAGTGCACATTTTTGTTTTTGCTCTAGTACTAATACACCTGATTCAACTAATCATCTCATCATCAAGCCTTTGTTTAGAATCAGGTGTCTTAGTGCTAGTTGCAAAAACAAAAATGTGCACACCTTTGGGTCCACATGTCCAGGATTGGGAGACATTACCTTAGTATGAATGGCTTGGAAAACACTGGATTGGAAAACATTGTACTAAGGGATGAATGGTAGTGTTGCGGGTCTCACAGGTGTTGAGGACGGCAGCATAGACCCAGCACTGGGCGTAGCAGACGGGCATCTTGCTGCTGTAGTAGTTGAGGAGGATCTCAGTACTTCCTGTCCATGAAGTGGGTGCCACTTCGTAGGTGTAATCACCGCTCCAGTTCCCCACCAGCACCCCGTTGTCTTCATGAGAGTTCAGCTGGGAGAAAGAGAGGCGAAAATGCTGTAGTTTGCGTCCTAAATGGCACCCAATTCCCTTTATAGTGCACTTCTTTAACCAGAGCTTTATTGGCCATGGTCAAAAGTAGTGCACCTTTTAAAAGCCTACATTGAGTTGCAAGTTCAAATCTGTCTTCTGTATAAATCTGTCTTCTGTATAAATCTGTACCTTCTGTATAAATCTGTACCTTCTGTATAAATCTGTACCTTCTGTATAAATCTGTCTTCTGTACAAATCTGTCTTCTGTATAAATCTGTCTTCTGTACAAATCTGTCTTTTGTATAAATCTGTCTTCTGTATAAATCTGTCTTCTACGTATGCCTCCATTGAGTTTTACTTATAAATCTACTATGTGAAAAGGTTGTAAGAATGTTGCTATCTGAATGGGTTCTCTGTGTTTCATTGACTGGTGGTAACCCTCACCATGGCTGAGGCCTTCCGGGCTACTTTGATGGCGTCGCCCCGGTTGGTGATGGGCATGGCAGCTTTATCCATGATGAACAGACAGGTATCCAGCACCCCATAGTCAAACTGCAACAAGCAACGTTTAAAATTGAGGATTCACTTGTAAATATGTGTATGAGGGTTTTGTAGTCAGTCTTTGTATTCAAAGCAATACGTGTGGAAAATCTCTGTTGCACGTCGGGCCAACCAACCCCATTTATCTGTGACTATATTCACGATACAGCATAGCTTAATTAAGAGACATAGTACACAGTGCACTATGAAATGATGTGTTTTAAATATTGTCCAAACAATGTAAAATGATATGTACCTGATCAAAGTTCCAGGGCCGCTCAGACACGTGGTCATATGCCCCATGGTAGATGACCCCCACCTCGTTGAGAACACACTCCTCCCTCTCCTCGTCATCATCCAGGAACACAGAATCAGCTGGTGGAAGGAAAACAGAACATTAGAATGGAATTCTACATTCTATGATCAGAATGTATGTTTTTAAACAAGATAGAGGTAGCTTGATCAATCAATCCCAATCAATCAATCATTCAATAAATCAATCAGCACAACAACTGATGTGGGACGTAGAGGTTGAAGAGGACGTAGAGGTCTCGACTCTCATCCCTCCTGGTCCTGCGGATTCCGTAGGGCGTCACCACCGCCACGTACGTGCGCCACTTTCCCACAATGCAGTCTGGCGCAGGGGTGATGCCCACTGTGACTACATTGTCGGTGCTGTCCACCACCCGGCCGGCCCACGGGCTCTGGCGGTCCTTGGCCGCAGACACAAGGATGTAGGTGCCCTTACTAAACTGGGTACTGCCCCCTGGTGGATTGGAGGAACAAGAGGAATGACATGTCTTGCTAGCTTGCTAACACTGAGCCTTCCGCTCCGGGGTGAAGTTTCATCTAGGATCAGCTCCCTCTTCCCCAATCGTAGCCTTAAAGGCCCAGTGCAGTCCAAAACTTGATTTCCTGTGTTTTATATATATTTCCATACTATGAGGTTGGAATAATACTGTGAAATTGTGAAAATGATGATAATGCCCTTTTAGTGTAAGAGCTGTTTGAAAAGACCCCCTGAAATTTCTGCCAATTTTGCTGGGATGGAGTTTTGGCCTTACATGGTGGCATCACCAGGTGTTAAATTAGTTAATAGACCACTAAGAAAGAGAGTTCCAAACTTCTCCGCCAATAACAGCTCAATTTCAGTTTTCCCCTCCCCACTCAATCCACTCCCAGACAGTCCTAGCAATATTCTTGCTTGAGAAATTGCTCTTTACTGAGCAGCTATTTTTGTTTCTTATTGACCATTTTAATTGAAAACGATCATAGTATGGTATTTAATTGTTACCCAGAAATGATTTGATATTGAGCTACAAACGGCTGCTTTGGACCTTTAACCATTAGTGGGGAGTATGCAAAACTGACCCCAGATCAGCAACTTCACCTTACACCGAGCCTTCGCATTAACACCCTGGACTAAACCTATGGTAACACCCTGGACTAGCCCTATAGTAACATCCTGGACTAGAGCTATGGTAACATCCTGGACTAGAGCTATGGACTAGAGCTATGGTAAAATCCTGGACTAGAGCTATAGTAACACCCTGGACTAGAGATATGGTAACACCCTGGACTAGAGCTATGGTAACATTCTGGACTAGAGCTATGGTAACACCCTGGACTAGAGCTATGGTAACATCCTGGACTAGAGCTATAGTAACATCCTGGACTAGAGCTATAGTAACACCATGGACTAGAGCTATGGTGACATCCTGGACTAGAGCTATAGTAACATCCTGGACTAGAGCTATGGTAACACCCTGGACTAGAGCTATGGACTAGAGCTATGGTAACATCCTGGACTAGAGCTATGGTAACACCCTGGACTAGAGCTATGGACTAGAGCTATGGTGACATCCTGGTCTAGAGCTATAGAAACATCCTGGACTAGAGCTATAGTAACACCATGGACTAGAGCTATGGTAACATCCTGGACTAGAGCTATAGTAACATCCTGGACTAGAGCTATGGTAACACCATGGACTAGAGCTATGGTAAAACCCTGGACTAGAGCTATGGTAACATCCTGGACTAGAGCTATAGTAACATCCTGGACTAGAGCTATAGTAACACCATGGACTAGAGCTATGGTAACATCCTGGACTAGAGCTATGGTAACACCATGGACTAGAGCTATGGACTAGAGCTATGGTAACATCCTGGACTAGAGCTGTAGAAACATCCTGGACTAGAGCTATGGTAAAACCCTGGACTAGAGCTATGGCAACATCCTGGACTAGAGCTATAGTAACACCCTGGACTAGAGTTATGGACTAGAGCTATGGTAACATCCTGGACTAGAGCTATAGTAACATCCTGGACTAGAGCTATGGTAACACCCTGGACTAGAGCTATGGTAACATCCTGGACAAGAGCTATAGTAACATCCTGGACTAGAGCTATGGTAAAACCCTGGACTAGAGCTATGGCAACATCCTGGACTAGAGCTATAGTAACACCCTGGACTAGAGTTATGGACTAGAGCTATGGTAACATCCTGGACTAGAGATATAGTAACACCATGGACTAGAGCTATGGTAACATCTTGGACTAGAGCTATGGTAAAACCCTGGACTAAACATATGGTAACACCCTGGACTAGCCCTATAGTAACATCCTGGACTAGAGCTATGGTAACATCCTGGACTAGAGCTATGGACTAGAGCTATGGTAAAATCCTGGACTAGAGCTATAGTAACACCCTGGACTAGAGATATGGTAACACCCTGGACTAGAGCTATGGTAACATTCTGGACTAGAGCTATGGTAACACCCTGGACTAGAGCTATGGTAACATCCTGGACTAGAGCTATAGTAACATCCTGGACTAGAGCTATAGTAACACCATGGACTAGAGCTATGGTAACATCCTGGACTAGAGCTATAGTAACATCCTGGACTAGAGCTATGGTAACACCCTGGACTAGAGCTATGGACTAGAGCTATGGTAACATCCTGGACTAGAGCTATGGTAACACCCTGGACTAGAGCTATGGACTAGAGCTATGGTGACATCCTGGTCTAGAGCTATAGAAACATCCTGGACTAGAGCTATAGTAACACCATGGACTAGAGCTATGGTAACATCCTGGACTAGAGCTATAGTAACACCATGGACTAGAGCTATAGTAACATCCTGGACTAGAGCTATGGTAACACCATGGACTAGAGCTATGGTAAAACCCTGGACTAGAGCTATGGTAACATCCTGGACTAGAGCTATACTAACATCCTGGACTAGAGCTATAGTAACACCATGGACTAGAGCTATGGTAACATCCTGGACTAGAGCTATAGTAACATCCTGGACTAGAGCTATGGTAACACCATGGACTAGAGCTATGGACTAGAGCTATGGTAACATCCTGGACTAGAGCTGTAGAAACATCCTGGACTAGAGCTATGGTAAAACCCTGGACTAGAGCTATGGCAACATCCTGGACTAGAGCTATAGTAACACCCTGGACTAGAGTTATGGACTAGAGCTATGGTAACATCCTGGACTAGAGCTATGGTAACACCCTGGACTAGAGCTATGGTAACATCCTGGACAAGAGCTATAGTAACATCCTGGACTAGAGCTATGGTAAAACCCTGGACTAGAGCTATGGCAACATCCTGGACTAGAGCTATAGTAACATCCTGGACTAGAGCTATGGTAAAACCCTGGACTAGAGCTATGGTAACATCCTGGACAAGAGCTATAGTGAAATCCTGGACTAGAGCTATGGTAACATCCTGGACTAGAGCTATGGACTAGAGCTATGGTAAAATCCTGGACTAGAGCTATAGTAACACCCTGGACTAGAGATATGGTAACACCCTGGACTAGAGCTATGGTAACATCCTGGACTAGAGCTATGGTGACACCCTGGACTAGAGCTATGGTAACATCCTGGACTAGAGCTATAGTAACACCCTGGACTAGAGCTATGGTAACACCCTGGACTAGAGCTATGGTAACATCCTGGACAAGAGCTATAGTGAAATCCTGGACTAGAGCTATGGTAACATCCTGGACTAGAGCTATGGACTAGAGCTATGGTAAAATCCTGGACTAGAGCTATAGTAACACCCTGGACTAGAGATATGGTAACACCCTGGACTAGAGCTATGGTAACATCCTGGACTAGAGCTATGGTGACACCCTGGACTAGAGCTATGGTAACATCCTGGACTAGAGCTATAGTAACATCCTGGACTAGAGCTACGGTAACACCCTGGACTAGAGCTATGGACTAGAGCTATGGTAACATCCTGGACTAGAGCTATATAAACATCCTGGACTAAAAAGACTAGAGCTATAGTAACACCATGGACTAGAGCTATGGTAACATCCTGGACTAGAGCTATAGTAACATCCTGGACTAGAGCTATGGTAACACCTTGGACTAGAGCTTTTGGTAAAACCCTGGACTAGAGCTATGGTAACATCCTGGACTAGAGCTATGGTAACATCCTGGACTAGGGCTATAGTAACACCCTGGACTAGAGCTATGGTAACACCCTGGACTAGAGCTACGGTAAGATCCTGGACTAGAGCTATGGTAACACCCTGGACTAGAGCTATGGTAACACCCTGGACTAGAGCTATGGTAACACCCTGGACTAAAGCTATGGTAACACCCTGGACTAGAGCTACGGTAAGACCCTGGACTAGAGCTATGGTAACACCCTGGACTAGAGCTATGGTAACACCCTGGACTAGAGCTATGGTAACACCCTGGACTAGAGCTATGGTAGACCTAACCACTGATTCAAGAAAGAAAGATAGATACAGTACTACATTCACTCTGTTGAATCCCTCCTTAGTTTGATTATGTTTCAAGCTGTTACATAAAAAATGGCAGGAGCATTTACCAGTGTACATTTCTTTCATGGCATTACTTTTTGTACTGCTTCTAAACAGGGAACTATGGATACAGAGTCAGATATTTTTTATCCTGGGAAGCTTTTTAGGTGGGGATTTGTTTATCTCACCAATGACAAACTCCACAGCGAACTGGTCATCGGAGGGTTTGTAAGGATGGTCAAAGGACACTTTGAGCTGGAACTCCTGGCCCCTGCGGACGATGAGGTGGTCACTGGCGTACAGGTGTGTGCTGTTACAACATGGTCTCATTTACAGAATGTTCTATTAGACAACATTACAACATGGTCTCATTTACAGTATGTTCCATCAGACAACATTACAACATAGTCTCATTTACAGTATGTTCTATCAGACAACATTACAACATGGTCTCATTTACAGTATGTTCTATTAAACAACATTACAACATGGTCTCATTTACAGAATGTTCTATCAGACAACATTACAACATGGTCTCATTTACAGTATGTTCTATTAAACAACATTACAACATGGTCTCATTTACAGAATGTTCTATCAGACAACATTACAACATGGTCTCATTTACAGTATGTTCTATTAGACAACATTACAACATTGTATCATTTACATTATGTTCTATCAGACAACGTTACAACATGGTCTCATTTACAGTATGTTCTATTAAACAACATTACAACATGGTCTCATTTACAGAATGTTCTATCAGACAACATTACAACATGGTCTCATTTACAGTATGTTCTATTAGACAACATTACAACATTGTCTCATTTACATTATGTTCTATCAGACAACGTTACAACATGGTCTCATTTACAGTATGTTCTATTAGACAACATTACAACATGGTCTCATTTACAGTATGTTCCATCAGACACAATTACAACATAGTCTCATTTACAGAATATTCTATCAGATAACATTACAACATGGTCTCATTTACAGTATGTTCTATCAGACAACATTACAACATGGTCTCATTTACAGTATGTTCTATTAGACAACATTACAACATGGTCTCATTTACAGTATGTTCTATCAGACAACATTACAACATGGTCTCATTTACAGTATGTTCTATCAGACAATGTTACAACATGGTCTCATTTACAGTATGTTCTATTAGACAACATTACAACATGGTCTCATTTACAGTATGTTATATCAGACAACATTACAACATGGTCTCATTTACAGTATGTTCTATCAGACAACATTACAACATGGTCTCATTTACAGTATGTTCTATCAGATAACCTTACAACATGGTATAATTTACAGTATGTTATATCAGACAACATTACAACATGGTCTCATTTACAGTATGTTCTATCAGATAACCTTACAACATGGTATAATTTACAGTATGTTCTAGGGGTGTAACGATCCATCTACTACATCGATGTATCGATTTATATTCATATGATCCAACTACATCGATCTGTGCTTGGCGAGTTGGCCTTTTGGACAACATATATCGATCTAACATCGTTTTAAAATGTAATAAATCGATTGTATCGATACTAGGAAATAACCATTGGATTTAAGCACGTCAGACTTTATATGCAGGGGTGCACATAACTGGTGCGCAGATACGCAAGCGCGACAAAAATCAGGAATGCGTAATGCCACTTGTGTTACTACGCGCCTTTGCGTACTTGACCGATCTTCTCATCTAACCTTACACATGACATGTTGCTTGTCAACTACTGTCAGGGATGTCCAAAAAGCAACAGACATTAAGAAGCTTATTTTGCGTTTCGCCACCTACAAAGAAACGCCAACTGGAGCCAGAGCCGAAGAAAATACTTTTTTCGGAAAAGTGGCTTGAAGCTAACGATGAGCGCACTGAAATGTGGTGCAAGATTTGCCGCTCAAATCCACATCTAGCAGACAAAACAGGTGCATTTTATAAAGGCTCAAAGAATTTCAACCATCCTTTATTTGACAAACATGAAAAGAGCAAGGAGCACACGAATGTGGCGCAAGCCATTGCTAAAAGCTAGCCGAGAATAAATGTCCAGTCGCAAAGCTGAATGAAGAACAGCGGCAAGCTCTGTTTAATATTTTTCTCTTTCCATAAAGCTAAACACGCACGTCCCATGTCTTCCTATTCTGAGGATGTTCATTTACTGAATGCTTTTTGATGGATCTGAGGACATCACAAAAACTGAGCAGGAAATAGTTTACATTGTGTCTGTGTCCAGCAACGGAGAGTTTACTTCGGACTTTATTGGACTGATTGAATTGGGTGCTGACCGAACCGCACAGGCCATAACAGACGGACTTGTGAGACTTTTGGTAAGTTTCATAATACCAGATGGTCTGCATGGAGTCATGAAACACTGTTAAAAATATCAAGACTATTGCCAGCCATTAAAATGCAACTGGTTACCAGGTATTTATTTCAGTCACACTGGTTGAATTTTTGGCTAAAAGGTTACTGAATCGATTTCAAGTCACTGAATCGTTTCGGATCGTATCGTTCTAAATGAACCAATATCGTCCTTGAATCGTATCGACAACCACGAATCGTGATACAAATCGAATCGTTGTTAAAACGAATCGTTACACCCCTAGTATGTTCTATCGGATAACATTACAACATGGTCTCATTTACAGTATGTTCTATCAGACAACATTACAACATGGTCTCATTTACATTATGTTCTATCAGACAACATTACAACATGGTCTCATTTGCAGTATGTTCTATTAGAGAACATTACAACATGGTCTCATTTACAGTATGTTCTAGTTCTTCAGGACTAAAACATTTACACACCGAGCAATAAAACATTTGGTAACCCTTTTTTTAAAGATACACATAGTAGCCACTAATTTGTAATTTATAAGTGTGTATTCATAAGTAGTGCCTTCCGTAATTATTGGGACAGTCAAGCATTTTTTCTCCTTTTGGCTCGATACTCCAAAAGTTTGGTTTGAAATCAAACAATTACTATGAGGTTAAAGTGCAGACGGTCAGCTTTAATTTGAGGCTATTTCAGATAATACAGACGCCCAAATATCATACCCCACCAAAAAAGCTACCCTCCCCTGTTATTGTAATGGTGAGAGGTTAGCATGTCTTGGGGGTAGGATATTTGTGCGTCTGTAACTTTCTCACTCATCATTATTCACGATTCATTCACAATTATCCGTAATCATGGTAGCATCCACATTAATGTAGAAGTATGAAGAAACATATTCTATTCTTATTTACAATAAAAGTGACTCCAAAATGACACAATACATTATTTACCATACATTTCTATTGGGCACAACATAATCTGAAATACAACCAAAACAGAGTCACAAGCTTGATGTAGTAATTGCGTGCTATGAATATGGGACCAAATCCGTAACTCTTTACGATTTTAATACACATAAGTGAATTTGTCCGAATACTTTTTGTCCCCTAAAATGGGGGGACTATGTACAGAAAGTGCTGTAATTTCTACATGGTTCACCCGATATGGATGAAAATACTCTCAAATTAAAGCTCAAATTTAACCTCATAGTCATTGTCTGATTTCAAATCCAAACATTTGGAGTATAGAGCCAAAATAATAAAAAATGCTTCGCTGTCCCAATTTTTACGGGGGCACTTTAAGCAGCTTATAGAGCATGTATTGTCTTATTAGACATTGATTAGGCCTCAATAATGAACTGTTTTCATATTAAAACATTATAAGTCATGTATTACCGGCCAATCCTTAATAACCTTGTTGTTAGTTATAATAAAGGTATATACACTGTATATATAGCCAATAAAGAGCAAGTTACACAAGAAACAGACTCTTAGTAAGATGTCTCAATGTGGGACTAATACAGTCATAGTGCCTCAATATGTGTTCCCTAAACTGTGAAAATATTTGGTCTAGCAGAACGTTTTTCCAGAAATGGGCATACCTTTTCTCATATATGCCATACAGCCAACATTCAAGTCAAAATGTAGTAACTAAACTTCCATATACTTCAATATATAAATGTCGGCTGTATGGCATATAATTAAATAATGTGAATCAAAGTTTAGTAGGTACACCCACATTAGTATCGGGTCACACACCCTTTTGCCTCCAGAACAACCTGAATTCTTCAGGGCATGGAAACGTTGCTCAATTGGTTTCAAGGAACCTAACGTGTGCCAGGAAAACATTCCCCACACCATTACACAACCACCCCCAGCCTGTACCGTTGACACCAGGCAGGATGGGGCCATGGACTACTGCCACTTACGCCAAATCCTGACTCTGCCATTAGCATGACGCAACAAGAACCGGTATTCGTCATACCAGGTGATGTTTTTCCACTCCTCAATTGCCCAGTGTTGGTGATCGCGTGCCCACTGGAGCCCTTTCTTCTTGTTTTTAGCTGATAGGAGTGGAACCCGGGGTGGTTGTCTGCTGCAATAGCCCATCCGCGACAAGGACCGACGAGTTGTGCGTTCCGAGATGCCGCTCTTTACACCACTGTTGTACTGCGCTGTTATTTGCCTGTTTGTGGCCCACCTGTTAACTTGCACTATTCTTTCCATTCTCCTTCGACCTCTCCTCAATGAGCTGTTTTTGCCCACAGGACTGCTGCTGACTGGATGTTTTTTGTTTGTCGCACCATTCTCAGTAAACCCTAGACACTGTTGTGCATGAAAAGCCCAGGAGGCCAGACGTTTCTGAGATATTGGAACCGGCGCGCCTGGGCCCGATGATCATACCACGCTCAAAGTCGCTTAGGTCACTCGTTTTGCCCATTCTAATGTTCAATCGAACAGTAACTGAATGCCTCAGTGCCTTTCTGCCTGCTTTATATATGAATGGGGTGTACCTAATAAACTGTGTATGAATCCAAGTGTATATAATCCATTTATTATGTCAAACTACATAAGTTTCAGGCAAACATGATTTGCTTTTACTCAAGGGTGTGGGGAGGTGTGCCCCTTTGCGATTCATAATATAATCTTATACAGCCGACATTCATATACATATGGAAGTATACTGTATATGGAACTTTAGTGGTTTACATCAAATTTGGACTTGAATGTTGGCTAAATGGCATATATGATGGAAGGTGTGCCCCTTTCTGTCCAATGAGGTCATTTCTGGACAATCTTTCTGCAAGTAAAAATATAGTCAGACTTCAGAATAGGGAACACATATTGAGGTACTATGCCCTTATTAGTCCACATTGAGAAAGCTAACTAGGAGTATAATTATTGTGTAACTTGCTCTTTAATATGCCTTTATAATATCTAACGAGTTTATTAAGGA